GAGGGGACATATAAATGCCAGCATAAGCTCTAGGACCCAAAGAATTTGGGCACTGAATATCTGAATGAGAAGAAAAATGTGATCCATACAATCAGACATTTGGGAGAAGGACATGAACGTGATAGAGTAAGTATATAAATGAATTTATTCTTGAACACAATGCTCCAAGGGGTTATTTGATACTTTAAGGTAAAAGCAGTATTATGGAAGGCCAGGAGTGACACAGAGCAGGCAACCACAGTGTCAGCAGGGTGATTTCCAGTAAGAAGACTGAGCTGAGTTGAGGGGTGTCTGTGTTAGAGCATGAACTTGCTTAGAAGGGAGTCACAATGGTCCCCTCAACACATCCAGCTGAGGGCAGAACCTCAGTGAGTCAGCCTGATCTGTTTTGCTTTGTACTTTCTCCTTCCCAGTGCCCTCTGGGCTCATGTTTTCATGACCAAAATTAATAAATAAGTGCCATGGATGCTTCTGGATCACCTGCTATACTGTCTGTATAAATCTCTAATGCACAGCTATTACATAGTTCTCTCCATGAACAAGTTTTCTAATGCTTCAGGGCTGTTGCTTGCCAATATTCACTACAGGAACTTTTTTTTAGGTCTCAGATGTGGCTGGTTTCACAGCTTCCTGGCAGTCTGAGGTATCAGTGTGTTTGAACTCAAAATGTCCCTCAGACATTTTTGGATGTTTTGGGCCCAGGTCAGAAGCATTTGAGACCCTGGCAGCTGGAAACAGCTGTGATTTTGGGTTTGAACCATGGAATGATTTACCAACCTTGCAGGAAGAACAGGAAGTCACAAAAGTTTAGATATTATAGTAGAAGTAGTTACAAAGTAGAGGGAAGAATTTTTTAGTGCTGTACAGGGGGGTTTTAAGTCCTGTGCAGGGGGGTTTCTGTTTTGTACATGGGGGTCAGAGGTTTTAAGATGGGCTGCTCAGGCACACTGCCACTGCTGCCATCCCCCAGTGCCCACCAGTCTCCCATGCCCTGCTGCACAGGCAGAGCTACAAGAGAGAGCTGTTTGTCACCCTTTTATTGCACTAATTGTTACAAATGTAAGGATCGCTGGTGGTGCTTATTTCAGCGTGTTTTGCTGCAGGGACAAACTGTCCTTCTTGTACAGAAGCTTTGATGTGTAACACCTTTCAAATTGAAAATGCATATTTATACCTCTTCTAAATGAGAAAAAAATGACACTTTGGAAGGATGTCCCAGCTGTAGCAGGCAAGTCTGCCCTTCCAGGAACGATGGTAACAATTTCGGTTTGGGAATCTGAATTTTTCTCAGAACTCTAGGAAGTGACTGTTCCATTGAGGGGAGTTCTGGAGAGACATTTTTAAATGAAATAGAAAATAGGAGACAGTCCACATGATGACTCACCTGCCTTAAGAGAAGATTGAAGAAAACTACTTGCAAATGGGAAAAGAGAGTCAGACAATGCAGTCTCATGCCCTCAACTGGTCATTTCAGAGGGGTGATGGAGCATAAAAGGATCCTGTAATGCATTGGTGTCAGGCTGTTGTGTGGGATTGGGAGGGTCTTGATAGCAGCTGTCAAAAGTAAGGCAGACCAAGGGTTTTGTATCTTAAAGACAGAATAATCCAGATATATACCATGACCTACAGGGGAAAAAAAAAAAAAAGGAGAAATTATGTTTTGTGGATTTAAGAAAAATGCACATCTGAAAATCTTGAGTGTGACCAAGTTACAGTTTTTAAGGGCTGTGCAAGGCGGCTGGGTGTGATGAGGCAGTGATTTTACTCCTGCCTGAGCACTAGTGGGAGTGACAAGCTGTATTACTGTAGCTCTTTGCCACAGGGAAGTCCCCTCTGGTTCTGTCCTCTTTGATATTTTGTAGCTCCAGGCAGTAAAAAATCCTCATGTACCTCTGTGAAGTCCTGTAATATTAAATGGATGATTTCATGGGTGTGCACAGGCAATGACAGCCACGAGGCATGACTAAAGGTGTTTCAGATGCTTGGGTCAGACCTGCCCATCCAGCAGTGGCTCATGGGGATAATAACAGAGACCTGTAAGCTGCTTTCCATGTAGGCAAAGGTCAGCATTTGGTAAGTTCCAGTTCTTGATGTGATATTTAAAACTTTAGTACATGGGCTGCTGCCAACTTCAGCTCTGCTTCTTTTCTGTTCCTTTAAAACTCATGGATCCACCAAATGGTGTGTGTGAAGGATTCTGGCCTATGACAGTGCATAAGCCTTTGTGTGTGTTTCATTTTTCTGATGTATTTTAATATCTGAGCTAGTATCTGTTACCCAGTTTCTAGTTTCTGTGCTTATCAGTTGTGGCTCCAGAACATGTACTGCTGTTGGCACTTGGTTGTGATGACAGAAAATAATCTTGCTAAGGAGTGAGAGGCCCTCTGCAGCCTAAATTCAGGTTTTAATTTCTTGATTTGTTCCTATGATCATGCCGCCACTCTGGTACCATTTGTAATGAGAATGGAAGAATTGATCACAGGGGGGTTTTTGAGTTAAATTCAGGTCTTTTCAGATGAGGCTCTCCTTTTGCATTAGAGTAGCTAGCTCAGAAAATCCCGGAAGAATTTTTTGTGCTTGAAGTTAATGAGTTGTCTAGAAATAAGTGTTTGCAAACAGGATTAGGGATTTTCCTTCTTACTGTGAAACAAAGGAATATTTTGTGTTTATCAAAGTTCTTCCACTGAAGTGTGTGTGTGATGCTGCCATGGCAGCCTGCTTATTTTGATTGTCTACTACAAAAATAGAACAGGAATCTCTGTTTTTCCTCTTAGAGGTTCTCTCCTATCTTTAGCAGTGTGTTTGTTAATGGTTTGAGGCCAAGTTATGAAGTAGCTTAACTCCAATTTCCAATTACTTATTAACCTAAAATTACTTAGTTATTAATCATGCAAGGAGCAGAAATGTAACACAGTTTGTAAAGACTCCAGGATCATCACATTTCCTGCCTGTTCTAAAGAAATTATTGTTACCCTTTCACTCAGGAGGTAAAACAGTATTACCAAGTTGTGACTTGTTCATAGGTTTCCAGGCCATGCAAACTATGCTGATTATGAAAGACAAAAAAATAATTGTCTCTGTGCATTGATTATTTAATTTCTATGAAAGGGATCAAAGCCTTCTGTTTCTTGGAGTTGACAGTAAAAGTAGTTTCTGCTCTGTGGCCCTGAGGACCTGATTCCCCTCCCCATACCTGTTCCCAGCCTGCACTGACCAGTCCTTCCCAATTACTCAGCAGGTAATTTTCTGTGACTCAGATGAGGTCAAAACTTGCCCATTGGTAGGAAGAGTTCAAGGGTGAGAGAGAGAACTGGAAACAAACCAGAGCCACGTTGCCCAGGCCAAGGTAAGGACCAACACATCTGCTTTTATGAAAATGGGAACTGTAGGTTTTTATTACAATTAGAAATTTCTTTGCTTTATGGTAATAATTTCTTACTGAGACATCTTTGCATGAATCTAAGTACTTTAAACATTGGGCTTTCAAAACTTGGTTATAAGCTTTAAGGAAAAAAAAAAAAGGAAAAAGTAAAAAGCTATCCCTAGAAATCTGAGGTTTTGTTTGTTTTTTAAGTTGAAAAATTTGGGGTCAGGATAAAGTCTGATTTATCCTTGCTGGGGAAGGGTTAACATCACATTTTGCTGTTGCAAGCTAATAGTGTTGTCTTCAGTCATAAAAATACTTGAGTACCTCCTGGTACCAAACAGCTTCATGGTGTGAGTGTCCAGCAGGGTGACAGACTTGTCAAAGACAGATATTTGACATTACCCTGGGTTAGTGACTCGAAGGAGTCAGGCTGCTATTGCTGTCTGCTCCAGTTCTCTGATCCCAGAGCGCCAGGCAGCGTGCTCAAATATCTGAAGCCAGGACAGGAAAAATCAAACCTCTGGTTTTCCAGCAGCTGGGAAGCTGTGTGGGTTTGTGCTCAACTGTCCCACTTGAGATGGAGCAGCTCCAGAGACTGAGCTTGGCACGAAGCTCTGAGTCCCAGCACAGAGCTGCGTTGTTTTTTTGACTTGGTTAAAAAAACCTTGCATGTTGCTTCCCTCCTGTTTTGAGTGGCTCTCCATGTTGTAAATGCCAATTAAATCCTTGTGTGAAGGATTTTTTTCAAGGTGCAAAGAAAGAAACTGCAATACAAACTTTAATCCCAAACACCAGGCTTGCTGTGGCGTGTGTTTGGCAGCGTGTCCGTCTCTGGAGAGAAGGATACCACAGGATAGTATGTGATCAGGAATCAAACATTTGAGTATTTGAGTCTGTTCTGCCTCTCCCTAACATCAAATTATATAAAGCAAAAGGAACTTGATATGAATCAGTGGAATAAGATGGGTGTGAAGGCAAATTCAGGTTCGGCATTTTTCCTGCGCTTCTCTGTGGCCCAATAACTTCTTGTTTTGGGCTTGATCTGGTGAATAAATTATTTGCTGGAAATAGATGGGCAAACGTAGGAATGGTGAAGGTGTGTCCTGGTTCAGTTCTTTTTTCTAGCTTAAGCATCTGCTTATGCAATTTACTGCTGAGCAAATAAAGTAAGAGGCCATGCTTTCCTTCTTACAGATGCAGCTTTTGCCCAGTAATATTCATAAGGGCATTACACAGGTCAGCAAAAATAACTGTGTGGGGTTAAGGGATCAAGCTGTGCTGTCACTATTTGTCAGAATGTTCTAAATCTGTGTAACGATCTGATGGATTGTGCCACTTATTCCCCCAAACACCGAAGATGGGCATGTATCTGAGGGAAAGCATACTTTATCCAATGGATTAGGAAGCAGAAGAGGTTAAAGTGCTTTGGGCACAGGATGTTTCTGGCGAGTTACCAGCTGATTCCGGGGAGTCGGCAGGTTGCCTCCCTTGCTCAAGCGAGCGATTAAAGCGTTAACCGGAGCCTCCTGGAGGTGGAACCGCGGCTAAGGGCGGGCTCCTGTCCGCGCTTGGAGTAAGCAAAGTGGGATAGGTAAATATTCCCGACGTGCACCGAGCTGCGGGGAGTGTCCTGTGGCCTCCCAGCCTTCCCGGTTCGTTAAGCCAAGTAGGAATGAGCAGCTCGGTGGGTCCCGGGGAGCGGCAGCGGAGGTGGCGGTGCGCCCTGGCCGTGCTGCCATGCCTTTCTGGGGGCTCGGGGGAAGGCGTGTGAAACTCCTGCCGCGCTCCTCCTGCTCGCACCGCCCGGCCAGGTGAGCCAAGGACGGCCGGGGCTGGCCTCTCGCTGTGTGCGCTGCTCTGTCGGGGGAAGCCAGGTCCCTCGCAGCCTCCCGGAACTCCAGGCACACTCTCTGGGGTCATTCCCTGCGGGGGGAAGGAGAAATGCTCGGCAGAAGTTCCTCAAGGCTTGGGGAGAGCCGGCTGAGGTGGGGCGGGCGGTCGCAGGTCGCGCCCTGCGTTCGGTGCGGCGGAGATTCGGCAGCGACATCGGCGACCTTGTGCGCTCTTTTCGGCGGCTAGGAAGGGCTTGTGCCGGTGGGCTGCGAGCAGAAAGTCACTTCTCCTAAAACGGGGTAGCAGAGTTTGGAAGGGATGTGTGCGAGCCCCGCTCTAGCGACGCCCGAGGGGAGGGAGCGGGTCCGCGCCTCCTGCCTTGTGCCTGGGAAAGTTAAGGGGCCGTATTCACATAATCCAATTTACTGCTGTTTCCTTCAAATCCCATTCCGAGCCTGCCTGAGCAGAGGGCTTGTGCTGTGATTTGTACTCAAGGAGTGCTCTTAATGCTCTGTACTGAGCAGCTAATTATTAAAATAAGGTGTGAAGAAATCTGAAAGCTCAAGAAAAAAAACAAAGCCCTTTTTTTTAGTGGGGAAAAGACATTTGTTCAAAGTAAGTACTTTGTTTTAATTACCGCCTTTTTCTATGGTGGTAAGGACATCTAACTTAAACAAAAATTACAAAAAAGGGGAACGTGAAGTCCCGTAATTAGAGTATGTGACTAGTAAAATTATTGTGCTGATACTGAGTTTATCTATCTGAACAAATCTTAAATTCATCTTTATAGCAACCAATCAGGATCGAACAATTTGCTGAATACCAGGCACTTGTGAGTTTAGAAGATGACTCAGCTGGACATGATGTTGTGCCTATGTATAAATTACCCCGTGTGTGTAGTTGATAGCTGAGTTAACAGGAAGCTGAGCCTTGTGCTTTCTGTAAAAGAAATGGAAGAGTTTCAGAGTTTTACCCTATCCTGACTTTCTGTGGGTTTGGAAGAGCTTTGGGGAGTGCTGGGTTAAAATACCTAGGGCTCTTTGCTGAGGTTTGGGGTTTTGGTTTCTCTAGCACTGGCAAAAGCTCTGCGTAGTGCACTGCACTCTGCAGGCCCTGTCTCCATAGATGGATGCACCAGAAAGCACATCCAGGCTGTTCCAGGAGCTGAGGTGCTGCCTTGCTGTTCCTGCTTGGCTCAGCTCTGCATCCCAGGTGTCCCTCTCCTTCCAGTCCTCCTCTGCAGCCGCCTGTCCTTCTCTAAACATCGGTTTAGCCATTTGCTCTTAACTTCTGCTCTGTCATTCCTGCACTCTACTGTCCCTGGTCTGTCCCCTTAAGTAAGTGACTTAAATAGCACTGTACTGAATAAAAGGAGCAAGTCCTCCTATCTGCTTCTGCACGGACACTTGGACATTTTCTTTGGGGAAAAAAACACATTTCGGGTAAGATATGAATCTTACAGACAAGTACAGCTCATTACCTTTGTGAAATTTGTCTTGTGCCCTGACGTGTTGATGCTCTTGCAGTTTTGAAATGTGCACTGGTCTGTTTTCCCTTTGCTTTTCCTAGACTACTCCAATAGTTGCAGTCCTCCTCTAGAAATGCTCAGTTTTCAGCTCTCCCAGTTTTCATTTCCTCCTGACTTTCCCTTTGCTTTCCCTCATGATGTATTTCAGGCTTCAGTCAGTATTCCTCCAAGCAAATCTCAGGCCAGCAGTTTAGTCCAACCAAGCTCCCACTTTCCAGGTGTAACCTATCTGAGGAAATTCTGCCCTTCTAGTCCAGTTTAACATAATGGTAAAAACACCTGTGTGATACCAAGTAAAACAGGAGATGGCTTTGAATAAATGACACAGGCAGATATGGTTGGAGTGGCTGGAAAATTAGCATGGTTTGGTTAGTTCAAATCAAAGGGAGCAGTGGAGAAAGCATTTAACTTTTGCTTGCTTCCTCAAAAGGACTACAGGGAAGTGGCATGGAAAGCAGCAAGATTGCAGGAGGTGATGGGAAATCTAACAGCTTTGTGGATTTAGGGAGTGCCAGTACAAACATCCTGGCATCTGTTGTGTCAGGTTCTGGTGTTGGGGAAGTCGCTGCGTGGTGGCAACCCACAGGTTTGGGTCTTGGCTAAAAATAAGCTACAGTGTGCCCATGGGAAGGGTCCAGGGAGAAGAGGTTCATCTCTGGAGTGAGCTGGTGGTGTGGAAGTGTTTGGTACAAGGCTGATAAGCACAGCAGATCACATAACTGAGGAGAATATAGTGAGAGCTGTGCTTCTCCCCCAGCCATAGGAGAGAAGGCTTTTTCCTGGGTGTTGCAGCCATGATGGAGAGAAAGAGAAAGGTGTCGGTGAAGAATTATCCCCATCACCACCCACTCTTCCAATTCACTTTATTTTCAGCACTTTAATGGCACCCAGCTGATTGAAAATCCGTTCAAGGTGTTTAAGGCAAATAATTTACTAGGAGCCACCTGCTGCATATGGAAAGAGTGTTCATCTCTTTTGTGTGTGTGTAAAGGTCACTTCTCTCCATGGGCAGAGATCAGCTTTTTCTTTCAGATGAATCATTTTAAGGCCAAATAGTGTAGAAAAGAGTGCATCCACAAGCAGTGAAGCAGTGCTGGAGCTTGCTGGTGTCACTACTCTACAGTTGGTAGAGGTGACTTGGCTATTCACTGCTCTTAACGTGTTGTTTCCTGACAGGTGGGAGGAAGCCCAAGTGTACATTCATTTATTCAGGTGCCAAAGTACATAAACTCCTCTGCATCTTGTAAAAATGGCTTGAAATTGCACTGACACAGGCAGCTGCTTCACTTAGAGGTCTTAAGTAAGTCACATAAAATCAGATTTCAAGGTGTGGCCAATGGTGACTGAAGTAATTTCAGAGGGAAAACCCAAGCAGTGGTATACAGCAGTGTATTCCTCAGACACAGACTCATGTCTGTACAGAAGTCCCTGGGCTTATTTGGCTTGCAGGTATGTTTTTGTCTTGATGGATGTCACCCAAAGGACAAAGGGAGTGCTGCTCTTTTCAGTGAGCTCCTGATAGAGCACTGCTAGAAAGACCAGCTGCTCGGGTAAAGTTCATTTTGGTAGGGCACTCTGGTTTTAGGGATTATTAAATAACTTCCTGTATATTTTGTAGGGTGGAGATCATGGTTTTTCTATGCAAAGCTTCTCATTTGTCCACCTATGTTGTTTTTTAGAAGCTATTTATCTATGATTATAGAAAATTGGTGACATCTAAAAAAGCAGCTCAGTAGTGCAGTACACAGAGGTGAGGTGTTTACTCTTTGCCCAGCCATGATCTGTTCAAGGTTGAATGTTCCCTAAATTGGTTTTTGGAAGATTGCTTGTCATGGGGACTATAGACAATCAACTACTTTGCAGATATCTTTGACCAGGACCTGTCCAATGCAGTCTGAAATCTGATTCAAGTCAATCACCTGGCATAAGGGACAATGCACATTGAGTGCTGTGAGCCAAATTCCTCTGTCACCATGCCCAAATAAGAGAAATGGAAGTGGAATGATCAACTTCTCATGCAGTCTTTGGAGATGTTACTGCTTTACGTGGGATTCTTTGAGTTTTTTTCCCCAGCCATGTGTGATGCCACTTGTTCAGTTAACTCCTCAGTCTTGCTTTTATTTTAGTACCTGGGGGTGAAGGAAAGAGCCTAGACTCCATAATTAAGTTTATTGAGGAATGCATTGTTGAAGTCTCGTGGCTCTGGCTCTTTGCCTGCATAATAGACTTGAATCCCAATGTGGAGATCTGTGAATTGTATTGCTACCTCCCTGAAATTACCATCTTGTTCTCTCTTTGCTATTCCACTTGCTTTCTGGGTGTGCTGCAGGACAGTGCTAACCATCACCACTCCTTCCCGTGCCTAGTTTTAGGAATCTGGATGAAGCAAGAGTCACAGTGTGTTTTGCTGACCCTGTGTCCATGGTGGACACATGGATCCTGACCAGTGCCTGGGCTGCTGTCTCAGACTGCTCACAACTCAAGCATAATCCTGGAGCTGAAGCAGTCCCAAAACTGCTTGAGAAAGTCCTGGTAGATGTAGTGCTTGGGATTTAAGGTACTGTTATACGCTTGACAGGAATGGCTTATGGCTTGTTTTGTTAGGAGTGGGAAATACTTGGGTATTAAGGCAAAATTTGAAGTAGTCAAAATATGGTGTAATGAGCCCTCAGCTTGAGTGTCCCAGCCTGTGTCACTTAGCAAACCTAAGTTCTGTGCTTGATTACTATTCCATCTTTTGTAGTAGCAGTAATGGATGTATTTACTTTTTTTCACCTTTTGCTTAGATTCATCTCTTCTGAGTAAATGAAGACAGTGACTATGAAGGCACAGCATCTGCCTTCTGTTTTCATCAATGAAGAGAAGTTCGTAACCAGGTAAATTATTAAAACCCTGACTATTTAATGAGTTTGCTGCTTTCTTTCAAGTTATTCCACCTTTATTCCTTGACAGGGGATTCTGTAGACAATTAAGCCTGTAGCCACAGCAATCCCTACCACTTAAGTTAGTTTAACCTGTCTACAGAACAGAGTTGGCCTTGACATGGAATTAAGAGAACAGAGCATTAAGCCTTCGGGTATGTGGGTTTTGTTCCTTAAGGAGAACAGCCCTTCTAGAGGATTCTGAAATAAAATTACAGGTTAGGGAGGAAGACCTTTCTGTCCTGGAAATCTGTTGGAATTTACCATAAGTTCCAGAGTTGAGCTCAGCTTGTCTGCAGTTTGGGGTTAGGCAGCCCCGGATTGCAGGGTATCTGTGTAGAAAGACTTTTGGGCTGCAAGCTCTCTGCTGTGGTCAGAGGAAGTGTCTTTTTCACCTACTTGTAGAAAAAAATTGGAATCTGTCATTTGTGGGATGCTTTTCCACAGTTCAGTCTCCCTGGGAGGAATTTTTCCTACTGCTGCCCAAACTCTGAGCCACCTGCCATTTAGCTCCATCCCCTTTTTTATGGGATTGTTTTCCCACTGTTGACTGGAAGGAAAGCCTCTCTTCTCTCTTCATTTCCATCACTCTTAGTCTTCCCATGGGAAAGAAACTACCTGTGGACTCAAGCAGGGATGGGTCTGGAGTGGAATTTATCGTGCTGCAGCAGAGATTTGTTCCTAACTCCTGATACTTTCCTGTGTGGCCTGGGCAATGCTGTTTTCTCCCTTTTCAAGGAAGAGTGTCAGGGCTTTGCACACAGGCAGCAGATGCATCACTCCCTTTCTCTTCAAGAGTTGTTTCCTTTATACTTCTGCTACTTTGGGATGCAGTGCTTTTAATTAATGTGTGTGAACTTGGCATGCAAGAGCGTTTGGAAATGTACAGTGTCTCTGGGGCTTTATTCCTCTGTGGACTTGCCTGTGAAATGTGCATCCCAGTTGAGACCTTTCTGCATGACAGCCATGGTTTAAACTTTCTTCACCTTGCATCAAGGGGAATAAGTGTTTCAAGAACCACTGCCAATTCCATATGCACTCAGGCTTGCTTCCAATGCAATTTCCAGACTGTGATCTCTCATCTGTACATTGAATCTGCTGTTACACTACTTCTCTTCCAGTTCTATCCTGAAATCTTGCTGATGGGGCAAGCCTGCTGTTTGGGAATTGCACAATGGCTGGAGCAAAAGGCTGACCAAAGGTTGTGAGGTGATTTGGCTGGCTGAACTGCTGTGTCTCCAGAACAACTGCCATAAATATTCATATAAATTGTGTGTAGGGCTCGGGCAGGAGAGAGCACAGGTGAGCTGTCCTGGCTTAGTGCTTCCAGAGAGCAGCCTGAGCTCTGTTGTGGTTTACCACTGGGGCACCTGATCTTGCAGCTCCTTTGTATCCTGCTTTTGCTGCTGAACAAAGTAGTGAATCTGCAGTGCATGTTATGTTTTTTGGGAGTGAGTTGTTCTGCCAGTTACTTGGTTTTGGTTTCTGTTCGTGGCTGTGTTTGGCTGTTGTCACAACAGCTGCTGATATTCCAGATGCCAAACTCAGCAGAGATGGCATCTGTCTCTAGGTTAGGGCAGCAGGAAGATGTGCTACAGTGAGACTACTCCTGGAGCTAGGCTGGTGCACATATTCCCTTCTGGGCCTGAAGGAAGGAAAATGTTTTTTTTTCTCTTATATTTCTACTACACAGGGACAAACAAGTCTGAGTGAGCTGCTGTTAATCTCTCCCTCTGGGCTTTTCTAATTGCTTGTGTGGTTTGTCACTGTTGGTTGCACTAATGCAAGGCTGAAACCTTGAAGATTTACTTATGCAAACTTCTGAGGTAGGTAATGGCAAGTTTTTCTAGACAAGGCAAGAAACTGTGTGGAAATCTTGAGAGCTTGCTCTGAGAAACAGAATCTGCTTCAGAGATGACCCTTACCAGACCACTTACTGCTGTTAGTGTATGATTTTATTTGCCTTTGCAGTCAACATGGATTAAGAGTAATTAGGTGGGCCTCAGAGTGTGACCCAATTCCTTATGTATCTCTAATCCATCTTCACGGATCTCACCTTCCCAACTTCCTACTTGGAAAAAACTTGTCAGATAACAGCTGTCAATACAATGATGGCCAAATTCTGTGAAGTACAGAGACTTGAGCAGGATCAGCAGGTCTGTCACAACATCTGTCAGACAGAACTGCCTGTCTCCTACTTGTCTGGTAATCCTGACTTGCATCTGGAGCTTGCCTGTGTACATGATGCAAGGCGTGCTTCATCTTGCTTGCCTGTAGCCAGCGTGATCAGAACTGGGCTTGCACCTGATTCATTTCCAAATCTATTTGCGTTCCCTTTTGGTGGGATGACCTGAATGCAGTCCCTCATAGCTCACGAGACACAAAGAACCTGGAATAAGCTATTTCAACCTAGTGCTTTTGCCAAATTCTGAGGATTTAAGACTAAAGTAAGTTGAAGTAGATGTTGAAAATCATTGTTTAGAATCCAGTTGATAAAGCTGGTTAAAAATATATTTTGTGTGTGGGATTGCAGTAATGTGAAGTAAATAATTTACATCCACAGAATTAGCAGGGAATGCAATGAACCTTGAGTTTAATGCTGCAGCCCCTGTCCTCATGTTACCTCCTAGTTGTAAAAGCTCAGTTGATCTTCTCACTATGGGAAAAGGCTCTCTAAAGCAACAGGACACTGTCCTGTTTATTAAGTGCAGAGGGAGGGATGGGTATGCCAGGGAAAGCTTTCCATGTTCATACTCCGCATAGCCTGGAGGTGTTACCTGCCCTCCTGGCTGTCCCTGGTTCCTGTCTGGTGTGTGGACACCTGGGTCCAGGGGAAAGCCACGTTCCTGGAGTCTGTCCCCACACTGGGCTGTCAGTTCTCCGGGGCACTTCTTTATTTAAAACTGATGGAAGAGTTGTAATAGTGTTTCTGATGGTACATGAGTTCTGAGTATTTTCAGCAGCTCTCTGAGGAATGTGTGCTGCAGAGTTTGCAGGTGCTGTGTGCTTGATCTGTGGGCCTGCTGTTCTGTCAGAATGTGAGGTATTGATGATCCCAAGATTGTAGAAAGTCTCTGTCTTTCAGCCCTGCTGCCAAAGCAGAAGCCATAATTGGTCTGTGCTGGTTTCCAGGTTGTTTATTCTGTTGATCTCTCACATGTTCTGCTGCCCTGCCCAGCTCTGTCCTGCAGGGCAGCGTGTGGGGCTCTGCCCTCAGTGGGATGTGACAAACATTAAATACCAGAAACTCCCTGGGCTGGATTTACAATAACGTGCCAATATCTGTCACCTACGTTGGACAGTGTGTCCCCAGCCTGAACCAACAGAAAAATGCCAACACCACAGTGAAACATGGAGGGCATGAAGAAGGAGAGAAAGGACAAGGCACACCCAATTTCTCCATCTTGTCCCCTTTGGACCCCTCATCTAGAATCCTAAAATTTTACTTTTGCACCCTTGCCACACTTAATTATTACTCATATCAAACACTCAGAGCTTGTAATTCATCCTGTAAGATTGAAAACTCTTTTCCATGGACAGAGATCACAGACAGTGTCTCTGGGGGCTCTGTCCAGGGGGGTTCCTGACGCCCTGCCAGGGTCCTAGACCTTCCAGGGCAGCCAGAGGGAAGCCCTGGATTCCCACACTGCTCCAACAGCTCCCACAAACATGGAAATAATAGGCATTGTTTAGAAACAAACTTGGTGTCCTCACACATGACTGTGAGGCTGGACATGAAACCATTGTAACTGTTAGTCCACAAGGAAGAATTTGTACACTTTCATGCAGTTGTTCCCCATGGTAACCCCCTCTGCTGGTGGGAATTTCTTGCTTGAATTGCAGTCTGAATCATCTTTAAATGGTGGTGGGGAAGAGTGTTTCATTCTAGATGGCCTTGAAATGCATTTCAATTAATTCTGTCATTGTTCAGCCCTCCACAGCCTGAGCTGCAGCTGGCTTTGTCTCCATGGCTCCTTGCTTGTTGGCAGAAGTTCTCTTCATCTCCTTCCTTTCTCCTTTCAGCAAAGACGTGGTGCAAAGCTGTTTCATTTCAGGCAGAGGGAAATAGAAATGTTAGACATCCTGTAGGTGTTTGAAGATAGAAAATGTATTGAAGCAGTATGAGAGCTGAACAGAAGCCATCATGCAGGGAAAGCCAAGTGTAGCCTAGTTAAAGTAACCTGCAGCATTGGTGGGTGCATGGGGATGTTGTTCTGTTTGCTTCTTCCTCGTGACTGCTCTGGAGGTGCAAAGTACGAGCTGTGCTTGGGCAGTGTTATTGAGGTCATGTGAGACTGACTAATTAATTTGCTCTGGGTCTTTAAAGAAGCAGCTTATGAGCAACCCAGTAACTTGACAAAACTTTACTCTCAGAAAACGATGTATAGTTCATTAATAAACCTATACAAGGATGCAGTGGGTAGCAGAGTTATGGGGTGTTACCCTGCCACGTACCACCTGCATTTTGCAGAGATGTTAAAAATTTGTTTTTCATTGTGATCTTTATTCTAGAGAGCAGCTCAGTTCTCTTCTGAAGAATTATAACTCTTACTATTCAGATCAAGAGAATCTGCAACTGACATATAATCAGGTAAGGATTTAGGGGTGAGAAACTCCACTAATCTGGACATCACAAATTAGTGCTCTCTTCTCCTCACAGCACTGGACTCCAGCTCCACTTGCTGTGGTGCTGTTATTGCACAACATGTCCCATTTAATATAATAAACCAGAACTGGTTTCCTGAACTGATCAGGTCAGCCTGCAGCTTTGGCTTTTTTGGAAATTGCTCAAAACTGAGGTTATGTGTTCTTCCAAGTAATCTGTTCCAGGGCTGTGTTAGCCTCAGTGATTTCATTGTATTCCTGTACTTTGAGGGGAGATGTATTATTAGTAGCAGCACTGTATATTATTATTATTATTATTATTATTATTATTGTTATTATTATTGTTATTGTTATTATTATTATTATTATTATTATTATTATTATTTATTATTATTATTATTATGCAGCACTAACTATTTCCCTGTTTTTCTCCAGGGAGAAGGAAGCACGCCATTCATTGAAGGAATCCTCTCAATATTCTGGGGAGTACGCCATCCGATCCGATTAAAAATTCAGGATGAGAAGCAGATACCCTCTTTTGTAACCCTGAAGTCAACAGAGAATGTGGGGGTTTTTCCTAGTAAAAGGTAATGTATGAACTTCCCTAGGGAGGCTAGCACTGCAAGATAGCTCGTGTTGTGGCTTCAATGGATATGGCTGGCTGTGCTAGATGTCCCAGATTCCCCAAAGTTGTGGTGGTTGCTGGACAGCAGATTCTTTCAACAGCTTCCTCTGGGCAGGAGGGTGTATGTTTGTAGCACCTGTGTTTCTGTGTGCACCTGATACTGGTAGCCTCTGAAAGGTCTCATGTTGGTGCACACACCATGGCATGAAGCCAAAAATCTGGTAGGTATTGTCTGTCCCAGTTTGCATTCCCAGGTATGTGAGGTCTGGAACCATTGCTGCTCAGGTGAAGTTCAAGTCAGGGAAGAATACTGGCTTTGTCTGTGCAAAATATGGTGTAAAAACTTCTTAAAATGCCCACAGAGCAGCTGTTCCAGCTGCTGCCAATGAGGTTTTATATCCCAGTGGGTTGTGCTCAGCTGATGCAGGTAGTCAGTTTACTTTTTCTTTGTTCTGAATGCTGTTTCCTCAGTCTTGACTGGTGAATTTGATGAGCTGAATTTGAATCTTGTAACATAGAGGCAGAGCCAATGTTCACCCTGAATGACTCCCTGGTAAATAGTGTATTGCAGAGTTTATTTTTCTAATGACTTACTGTCTTAGGTTGTATGTGGGACATGTTGGAACTGTGCTGGAGATTTAATTCCAGTAAAGTCTTCTTCCCCATCTCTGGCTGTTGAAATTCAGGGATGAATTTTGACAGGAGCAACTAGGAAAGAACCTGAGTTTTAGGCAGATCTGGCTTTCTGTTTATCTTGACCAGGTCAGCTGGTGTGGGGTGCACATGGCCTGCAGGGCAGTTCTTAAAAAACTTCTGACTGGTGGAAACTTGTATACTAAAGTAAACATTCACTCATGATCCCAGAAACGTAGGGCTGCCCTGACATGCTTTAAGGTATGCAGACCAGCTTGGCTGTCTGATCTTAAATGAACTTGGTAAATGTGTGGAGTGCAACCGAGATCTTGTTTGTAAATGTAAATTGGGGGTAGCTGAATATTACTGGGAATACATAAATATATACATATGAAATTAATTTTTAATATTGCACTACAAATTGGTTTATTCTCAATCAGAGCAGTAACTGGCTGAAGACCTCATGCTGAAGAGTTTGGGCAATGATTTATGGAAATACTGACATGAATACAGGTTTTCTGAAAGGCTGGATGGAACTTCCTGCTCTCATTCACAGCCAGTTTGGACAGCACGAGGGGCTGTGTGTAATTCAACCTCTGTAACAGACCTGTGTTCTGTAACTACTAAGCAACAATATGTGTGTTTGGTGTGCCTGCCTGGTAGTCTGAGTGTGATTAATCCAGGGTTTTGCTGTAAAATAGATGAGGAATTACTGCAAGTTGTTTCAGTTGTGTCCTGGTTGATGTTCAAAAGGTTTTAAATTGGATGTGTTACATTTGGGATCCCTTGTCATACCATATTGTAATACCTGATCTTGTTACGACTTAAACTAAAATTACCATTCTGAAGTCTGTAGGTTGAGCAGGAACAGTAATGTATGGTATGAACCCTGGCCACAGGATAAACTGAAATCACTGAGTGAATGAGGAGCAGTCCATGATAACTACACATTTGGTCTTTCAGGGGAATGACTCGCTGGGGAGAATTTGATGACCTCCATCACATAAGCGGGGATACGCTGAAATCTACTGAGGAACAGCCAGACCTCCAGCCAAGTTAGTGTCACTGCTCTCAGGTTAACAAAAAATTCTGTGTTCTGTGACAGTGCCAAATGCACCTCACACATCAGACCTTCCCTAGCAGTAAAGGGAAGTCTCTTTGCTCTGTGTAACAAGTACTGCAAGCTGGGGAAACTCTGGCCTAGGGCTGGTTAGGGCTGTGCAGGTGACTCGGTGAGCAGCTTGTGGGAATGAGCTGTGCTTTTATCCAAGAAATCATTCCCAAGGGACCAAAACACCAAACTGCAACCACTGCAATCTGTTCTGAATTGCCTTGTTCCTTTCCTGCTCCACTCCCCCAGAAAATAATAAATAGTAAATAGTAAATGAAGCCCTTCACTGAGAGCCTCCTTCCTCTGGGGGTGCTGGCAGGGAGTGGCAAGCAGCTGCACACGATGTGTGGTTCTGTTGTGTCCAGGTTATCCATGCTATGAAAGTCACACTCTTAAGTCCAGGAGGGAGCCAGAGCTGAACTGTGCCACCCTGCCCCGGGCCAGCAGCGATGCCACGGTCGTGCGCAGGAGGACCAAGCTGCCCACGATAACCAGGACGGAAGTAGAAACTCACAGGTTCTCTATCAATGGCCACTTCTACAACCACGAGGTAGGAAATTTTAGGCTTGGCTTTGTCACCTGAGGGACAGGGAACCCTGTCCAGAGCGTTGTGCCTCATGCTCATGTCGTGGTGTGGCTGTTCTTGTTCCCAGACATCAGTTTTCACTCCAGCTTTTGGGTCAGAAACCAAAATAAGAATCAACAGCCAGATGAGGACCAGACAAGTGATAGAACAGTTGCTTCGTAAGTTTAAGGTAAGACTGCTGGCAGGAGGAGGTGTGGCGAAATGTTAATTCCGATGTGCGCTCCAGCACTGCGCAAAAGATGGGGAATAGCTGGGTGAGGATAGTGCTTGGAGCAGAGTGTAAAAAAAAACCCAGACAGACAATTTTAAATGCATGGGTTGGGTTTATTTTACCAGTGTTTCATGGCTCTCAGAGGCGTTTCTGTCACCTCCCGCTCCACGGGGCGAACGCCGCCGCGCTAAACAGCAGCGGTGATCGCCCATGTCTGTCTGGGACGGGCTTGCTCCTGGAGCCAGGCGTATGGAAAGATGCACAGGGTTAGAGCTAAAAGCATGCTCAGCGTCAGTGCCATGCTGAGTTTCCTTGCAATCATCTCCCACCAACAGTGTTCTATGTGGTCAGAAGTTGTGGGAATCCAGGGCTTCCCTCTGGCTGCCCTGGCAGGTCTGGGACCCTGGCAGGAGGTCAGGAACCCCCCTGGACAGAGCCCCCAGAGACACTGGCTGTGATCTCTGTCCATGGAAAAGAGTTTTAAATCTTACAGGATGAATTAGCAGCTCTGAGTGTTTGATATGAGTAATAATTAAGTGTGGCACGGGTGCAAAAGTAAAATTTTAGGATTCTAGATTAGAGGTCCAAAGGGGACAAGATGGAGGAAATTGGGTGTGCCTTGTCCTTTCTCTCCTTCTTCATGCCCTCCATGTCTCACTGTGGTGTTGGCATTTTTCTGTTGGTTCAGGCTGGGGACACACTGTCCAACGTAGGTGACAGATATTGGCCCGTTATTGTAAATCCAGCCCAGGGAGTTTCTGGTATTTAATGTTTGTAACATCCCACTGAGGGCAGAGCCCCACACGCTGCCCTGCAGGACAGAGCTGGGCAGGGCAGCAGAACATGTGAGAGATCAACAGAATAAACAACCTGGAAACCAGCACAGACCAATTATGGCTTCTGCTTTGGCAGCGGGGCAGAAAGACAGAGACTTTCTACCATCTCAGAATCATTAATACCTCAGATTCCAACAAGAAGTAGCTTTGCCCTTACTGCTGCATATTTTTCAAATATCTTGATTTTGCATGGCTGCTTAGTGTTTAATTTATACTTTAATGGTCTTAAACTTCCCGTTTAATGTGTCTAGAGACCTCACTGTTGCAGAATTACTTTGTGTGGTTAGTAAGATTTGTTAGTGTCTTGGGAGGAAAACTTCACTTGTAGGAGTAATAAGGGAGGGAATTACAGAGCAGGGTGTAAAGTTGTAGGGAATAAATTGCAAAGTAAGTGTTCAACAGCTCTGCTGTTTTCTGAGTGTGGTTGTCAGGTCACAGAGGTTTACCTTGATGGCAACACAAATTGCAGATCTATGTGTGATCTGAGAGAAGTAAGCTATAGGAAGTGGTTAAGGATGCTGCAAGGAAAGCAGGCAGGAAAGATCTGGGTTTCCATTGTGTTACTGATCTGGGCAGCATGGGAATGCAAGGGTTAGGCCTGGCACAGTGAACATGGCAACACAGCCTTCTGTCTTATCCAGATCCAGGGTCTTCTAACTCTTCTACAGACAGGATCCCTGTCCAAATCTCTGAGCTGAGACACACAGGGAAAATGTGCTGAGAGGGAAGTGCTGGGAAGATCTGTGAGCCTGAATGGATTTGTTTTTTTTCTTTCCCCACAGATAGAAAACAACCCCCATGAATTCGCACTTTATGTTATCCATGCGTCTGGAGGTAAGCCAGCCCCTGCTGCCCGAGCACTTCAGCTCTAATCATTCTCTGTGTGTGTATGGAATGTGTCCCTTGGAGCAGCAGGACTCGTGCCAGGCCTCTGTCCTTGTGCATGTGTGTGTGGCGTGGCATTTTGCCTTCTCAGGGACCCTTCAGAGATGTCTCCTCTGGAGAGGAGAAGCTGAATCATTGTATTGTGGGCCCTTTCTGCTGACAGCTTTGCATTGCATATGCTGAGTTCAAAGCACTCACTGTTCAGTGGGAAAAGTTTACTTCCACAGCAGTTTACTCTTACTTTTCCTGGAAAAGGGAGATTTGATAATTATTATTTAATGGGAACACCTGAGAGAATAGGAGGGAACTGGGGAAGAAGGTATTTTAAATAGCACAATATTAGGGACCGATTAGGTATCTGGTAATTGCACTCGAATCAGTATGGGATCTCTGTCAGGAAAAAAGGCTCATGACTGTGGGTGGCAGATGGAGCCCCTGTGGCATGTTACATGTTTTATAACACTGCTTATAAATTCCAGAAAAGAAGCAGTTGAGGAGTAGAGATGTTCCCTTGCTGCACAGGCTGCTGCAGGGGCCCTCTGAGAAGGTTGCCAAGTTCTTTCTCATGGATAGAGACGTGGAAGAGATCAGCAGTGATGTACGTATATCCTCACCTCTCATAGTTCATGGAGTTTTTCTCAATGACCACAGTTAGTAGTAGTGCCTTTTTTGTCTTCTCCTTATTAGGTTGCTCAATACATTTCATTTCATCTTCCCTTTTTGGAATCCATTCTGCACAGAATAAATGAAGAGGAGGAGCAGGAGATTCAACAGACAACTGCAAGGTATATAGACACAAAGTGAGGTGTCAGAGAGTCCAGGGCAATCTGTACATTTGTGGCCTGGCTCATGAGGAGAACATAGGGATGCAGCAGAGTAGAATACTGCAATGGGAAGGCTGAAGGGATTGGGAGGTCTTATAATCCTTTCCGTGTCCTGTTGCTCTTAAAGATTCTATAATTAATACTGACTACACACAGAGTGGTGTCTTCAGAAAATCTGGATCCTCAGGGTAACTCCTCTTTATTTTGTTTGCTGTTTGCTCTCCGAGCTTTTGACTGGTTCGGTTTGGACGTGCTGCTATTTCCTTGGAAAGGGTAAATGCAGTACTGTTAGCCTTCAGGAACGCACATAATCACAGGATATGATTCCATGCAGGTGCTTTTATTAAGAGCTCTGGGAATCAGGGGTACAGACCCAAATCTGACTCCGACACGGTTTTCGAGCTGAATGTATTTTATATTCTATCGTTCTATAACTTACATATTAATTATTAAACTTATGTTGTTCTATTGTATACATTGACATGAGTTTCTCATGATCTTTCTTAGGTCCCTGGCCACAGTTTCTCATGATTATTCTTATGATTAAATAGTAATTATGTTTAATTACTAAACAATCATCACATCTAACAATTATATCATTTATCATGTACTAGCTACACAGGTGCAGTTCTAGCAATTAGAAGTTCTTCATGTGCTTAGTGTGTTTATTTTTAGGGTTTACTAAGCTTATTTTTCCTTTTAACCCTAAATCCACACGATTTTAAGACCCTTTTACTATCAGTACCACACATGGTACTATTTCAGTTCTGTAGCGTTTAGGCCACATCAGTGCCAGATGTCCCCTTAAAACTTGAGGTGAGTGACAGGAATCCCCCTGTCAGTAGCTGAAAATGCCCCACAGGTACCAGCCAGAGGAGCTCCCATATTTGTGAGCCTCTGAGTTCAAGAGCACTAAGAGGTTACAGCAGCCGTAGATCTGTTACTGGATGATTCAATAATAGGCTTGCCTGTGTTGGGAAAGTTGGGCATGGACACAAAAGCTGGGAATGGCCACACGTGTGACCATTGACATGTTGGAATTTGGGCTGAAAGTTTGCAGAGGTTACTTAAATGCCTTTTCTCTCTCAGGTATGTAAGAGAGAAGAGGCTGATCCAGCAGCACCTTCGAAGTCGAGGTGTTAAAAAAACAGAGACCACGGTGTGATGGGGAACATTGGAACACCTCTCAGGAATGCCTGGGCTGCTGAAGGGCAGTCCTGCTGCTGCCTTCTGGGGCTGGGACTGAGGAATGCTTCATCCTCCAAGTGGGAGAAGCCTCTGCTCACCATTAACTCCTGCAGGGCCAGGGTGCAGGCTGGAAGCACCCACGGAGACACGCTGCATCACCGAAACGACGTGTGCTGGATCTGGCTTGGAGCTTAGGCAAAAACTCCTCTGAAAAGCCCAAAGCATTCAGCTTTAAACCCTGCTGATGTGTGACCTGCCACCAAGAGGCTGGCTTAGAAAAATACTGCAATAACCAATGTGCTGATTGAAAATATGCCAACTAGGAATATGGTTAGCCCTCTGTTAAAGAAATACTGTATTATATTAGCAGAAAGCTTTTCAGTAGAGCCAAGTGGCAGAAGGTATTTATGTATTTAAGACTGCAGGTAGAATTTTCACTTAAGTTATACAATGTCCATGCAAGATGCCTGAAATCCAGTGGCTTCAGGCTGGTGTATGCTGAAATTGCTTAAGCTTTGAGCTACTGTTAGAAAAACATAATTGGAAACCCTCTCACTTAGGAGCTGCTCAGCTCTTGGCAATGACAGGGAATTTATCGCTGAAATACCTCGCTCGTGAACTGCAAGTAAGAATTGACTGAACACTGTTGGGTCCTGAAAGGCATCTCAGTGGTTTTGCAGTTGGAGTAAGTGATTGTGTTCCTTCCTGTGTTTTCCCTTTGAAAGGGAATTGAGAAGCTCTCAGTGAGAGGCTGCATGTTACAGCCACAGAGAGCTGGGCCCACGGCCTCCCCAGGGATGCAGTTTGGCTCCAGCCCAGCCCCACGCAGGGCACAGCAGCAGCTGCCAGGTCCTTCCTGGCTGACTTGTGTTCAGTGTGAGAGCTCCGGTTACAGAGATGTAAATAAAATAAATCTGTGCACAGCTCGTTGTCCTCCTGCAGCAGCTGGTTGTTTTTACCTTGTGTCTGCACCTTACCTCAGCTGCCTTTGTCTCATGCAGATAACAAATAGTTGTGAGGGAGGAAAGGGATGTGCAGAACCTGTTGCCTAGAAATTATATGGAATAAATCAAATTGCAAAACTTTGCGCTGCCTGAAATCCCGTTAATGGGATGAGAATTCAGAAAGTAAAGGTGAAGGTGCTGATTTGAAGCTCCTCAGGTTGGAGCAAGTGTGTTATTTCAAAGTGCAGTTTATAATCCTGCCCAGGAAAATGGTTAGGGACAAGGGATTACAGAGGGCAGAAAATAATAATAATAATTAAAATAATTCACAGTTAAGGGGTAGGAATTAAATGACAGTTGGCTTGCAGCTACATGTGACAGTTCCTTGAAGCAGCAGGGTGTGCCTCCAAGTGGAAGTATTGGAATATTAAATAATTTCTTGAGAGAAGAGTGGAAAAGAGGTGTTTCCAAGCAGGTTTCCAATCCCCTGTGTATGTCCACATTTCCTAAAACAGCCATTTTTGCCACCGTCTGATATTCAATTTTTGAATCCTTTTCAATTCTCTTTCTTGCTGAATTGGGACTGATGGCTTCTGGAAGACAGTTCTGGGACAGGACACAGAGCTGATGCTGTTGGCCAGGATTTCAGGGTGAAGGAAATCATGCTGTGACTCTTGTGGGGTAGGTTCTCTGCGAGTGCTGTGCTGTCTAAATGAATTGTTTTTGACAAATACAGGCAAGAGCAAGGGAAGAATTTCTTCCAGGGTATTCTGGGACATTCAAGGAAACACAGCAAGGACACACAGGTGATAGAGGAAATGGGGGTCACTCAGGTTCGGACACAAAGCCATTAACCACAGAATCAGTGATTAGAGTCTATATCTTATCTGAATTTGTACATTTGATCTCATTTGCACTTACTCCTCATAAGGCTAGGATTTAAAATGCCTTTCTTTGTTTTGTTCTGTGACTATTTGGGATAATACAATGATATTTCATGCCAGAAGATCATGACCACAGCCATACCCTGAATTTCCATCGCTTAGCTTATTGTTTCAGTGGATTTCCATACAGGAATTCAGCTTCCCTCTGAACTAAACGTGGCTTTTTGTCACTTGATTTGCTTTAAATGCTCCCTGTGCCATTTGTGTCACTTTTCCAGTGAGGACCTTCCCATGAACTGTACAGCTCCTTACGCTGACAGCATTTTCTCACTCCTTTGAATGAGTTCTGGAGGCTGGAAAAAGGAAAATCCCTGGGATCAATAGTGTCAGGAGGGTGCCTGATGTGTCTGTGACATGTTCAGTGAGGTGGCAGCAGGACCTGTCTGTCCTATGGCCTTGGCACGGTGTACACAACACTTGTGTGCAGAGCACGGACACTTTTTTGACTGTGAATGTACATTTGGTTTTGCTCTTCAGCTGAGCTGGCCTTACACTTGGTATTGGTCAGAAAACTACTGAAATACAGTTGTGGTAGGAAGGATCAGTATCATCTTTTGGGGATGTACTGTTCAAGCATTTCCAGAGGTGAAAAAATTTTTATTAATATAATTCTTTCTATTGTAACATTTTAAGCCAAGGAAAATATAATAAAATCTTATGGGTCAGGGATGGTTTGTTAAGTTAGGAATGTAGCAAAGCGAGGGACATGAGAGAAATGGGAAGATTGGATTTACTGGAGGGTGAAGAGGAGCCAAGGCAGGTTTGGGATATGTCGTTCAGC